GGGAGGAGGGGGCAGACACAGTCCTCCTAGAGCGTTCTTGCAGACTTGGGGCTCACTCCCCGCTTGCCTTCCTCCGCACCCCAACTTGCAATAAAGAATCGCCTAGCTCGTGGCGCCCTGTCTCTCCTGTTTTCTCGCTGCCACGACCTGAAGTCTGTAATTCCGGTCTGTTCGGCTCGGCTCGCTCGAATCGTGCTCGTCCCACCTTCCCACGCCCGGGGGTCCGGCTTTGTGTGTGGGAGACCCCCCTCCTGCAGCCTGGGCGTGGGCTCGGGCGGGAGGACGGCGGGCCTGGGGCCCCGCTCCCGGGTGTGAGGCTGCGCCCATCTCCCCGGAGCTGAGGATGAGGATGAGGCGTGACTCCTGAGCGCGAGGAGCCCGTGCCTTTGCATGCTCCAGACCCTCACAGAACACCCCCACAGATCGCTTCTGCAGCCTGATTTCCGGTGGAGGATTCGGGGGTGGGGGTAGGGGGGGACAGCCACACCCTAACCATGGATCTGACACCCTCCACCTGCGTTTCTGGGAGTTGCAGTTATCCTGTTACTGTCCCTGTCTCTCAACCTTATCTTCACGTTCTCTCTAAATGCACGTTACTTCTCTCTGCCTCAAGGTCACACAGGGGTAGAGCTACAACCGCGGCCACCAGCCTATCTGTGCATCCCGTGTGCAACCTCCTGAGACCTGGAAGGATTCGCCCGGGCCCCACCTTAGACCCAAAGAGTCTCAGACTATGGGGGAGGGAGGAGGAGGGCCCCAGAAATCTGCATTTTTACCGGCTCTCCTGGCAGATTTTAGTGGGTTTAAGTTTGAGAATTACTTCCCTGGGTCATAGCTCATTTGCCCTTTTTGCCGGCCTCTGAGGGGATTTCTTAGGGGAAAAGAGACATATCCAGAGGTGCCCTGAAATTTCTGAGTCATCCGAAAAGCTCCTTGTAAGGCTTTTGATATTAATGTGATATGGAGGATGTTGATGAGGTCGGGGTTTGGGATTATCCAGGTAAGAAACACGCTCGAAGCGTTGTGTTTCCAGGAGTGTCCTTATTGCCCACGAACAAGGCGGGTTTGGAAATGGAAACCACAACCACAGCCCAGTTGTTGACTCAGTGGTGACACGGCACAGTGTGGGCTAGATAAGGGCTTTTCACCCACACCTGGGCCATCTAGGTTTGGAACTGCAGTCTGTGCGGTTCTGGAGGCCCTGTTTAAGAAAATAAATGGAAAAGATAGTCATTTTGGAAAATTTTCACAATCAGGACTGGCCGTGTGGCCTCATTTCCTTGGAAGAGGTCCTGAGCTTTAATTTCTTGGCAATAAAGCCACTTCTGTCCACACAGCAAGTCACACTTAAGTGACCTCTTCTCCCCAGTAACCGAGTGGTGCTGGGATTGGGGGCGGGGGCCTCTCTGGATATTTTAGGGGGGCCCTGGCTTCACCCTGTGGGTGTTGGAGCCTTTTGGGGAATGAAGGCATGAGGCCTGAAAGAAGGTGAATGGAGGTTACGGCAAAAGGACCAGAAGGTGTGTTCTGAGCGATAGGAAACTGAGGCACCCGCAAGTGGGAAGGAAGAGAAGAAGGGAGGGAGAAACAGCATAAGAAATAGTTTGGGGTGAGAAAACATGGGCTTTCTGTTCTTCATATCCAGGCTTGAAAAAAGGCTTTCTCGCAGGGACTTGTGTCCAGTTTTTCTCTGAGGCTTGTGGGGTATAGTATTTCACAAACCCACGGATCCCGCCATGTGTGGGGAATCTGATAGCCGAACTGAACTGATGGATGGGTTGGATAAGCCAGCCAGCATCGAAGAGTCAATCCAAGCTGTAATCATGTCATCTCAGAATTGTGATAAGCCACTTCCTCAAGGTAACTCCTGTAAAAAAAAAATAAGAACCTTTCTTATGTGTCAATATGCCTGTTTCTTTTATTAAAAAATATTTTTATCATCGAAATTAGTGGAATATGTTTATTGGAAAGGACTTAGCAGGGTCAGTGGGAAAACTAAGTTGATGTTTGTACGTTACATTTTAAAAAAAATATATATTTTATTGATTTTTTACAGTGAGGAAGGGAGAGGCATAGAGAATTAGAAACATTGATGAGAGAGAAACATCAATCAGCTGCCTCCTGCACACCCCCTACTGGGGATATGCCAGCAACCGAGGTACATGCCCTTGACCGGAATCGAACCTGGGACTCTTCAGTCCACAGGCCGACGCTCTATCCACTGAGCCAAACCGGCTAGGGCTGTACGTTACATTCTTAATGTTATTGAGAAGACTCAAGTCTCCATTTTATTAATGTCACAGGCCTTAAGAGCTTTTGAAAAGAGTGAATTCTAGGAGCCCTCTGGCTTTATGTGGGTTTTTTCCCGGGCAGGTAAGTAGACTGCTGTGAGGAGAACAGAGCAGCACACCTGAGTGGAGGAGTGTTCTGAGGCCACCACTCTGTGACCTTGAAACTTGTATCTGGGCTTTGGGTCCTCTGCAGTGTAAAGCTAATGTTGGTGTAACTGTCAAGCTGATTTTCGGTCTTCGTTCTTCTAACTTTTCTTTTTCCCTTTATCATATAAATGGTCATCTAATAATACTGCTTGCTTGTGATGATCGATGTTTTAATGATACCAGCGCCACCTGGAGGAGGCTGTGGGTAAGCTCTAAGAAAAGTCATGGGCATCGGGACCGGTGGTGTCTCACTCAGCTGAGAACTGCCATTCCCCACTCACTCCTAAATTTGGAGAGGCAGGAAATGTCTCAGGCGAAATACAGGAGTGCCTTCAAGCTCCTCACCTCATACGTAGTAGCTTATATGGAGGATGATAGTGGGAAGAGACATTGAAAGATTCTAGAACCCCATGTGTTTCTCAGCCCTGACAAAGGATGGGCAGAAACACGTCAGAAGGGCTTGGGTATCGGTAGTGCAGGAAACAAAGCTGCAGTTAAGGAAACAGGAGTCGGAGAGGAAGAGGCACCTGGCCCAGGCGGGGGCAAAGGGCTCTTATCCGACAGCTGTGAGATTATGGAAAATGGGAAGTGAGCAGGTGCCGTGTAAAAGGAGAGCTGCCGAGCGGCCCGGGCGAGAGAACCCGTGCTGCAGAGTGTAAAGCTAACGATGCTTTGAGGTGCACCAACACTGGTTAGTGTGAAACCTTAAAACCACACGGGGACTACAGCCCGAAATATAGATAGAAACGAGTGAGTCCTGTTTCCCACTAACCAGACATTTGAAATGTAATTATGGCTTTGTCATCTGTTGTCTGAGGAAGGAAGAAGGCTCTGGATTCTTGCAATATCTGAGTTAGAAGGCACTTCAGATAGCGAACGGTTCACAGCTTTGCTGCACGAAGTGAGAGTGGTGGCCCCTGTCTGGGTTTGGGGTTCCTGAAATATCTCCAGAAGAGCCCCCACAATCAAGGACTACAGCCCGAAATGTAGATAGAAACCAGTGAGTCCTGTTTCCCACTAGCCAGACATTTGAAATGTAATTATGGCTTTGCCATCTGTTGTCTGAGGAAGGAAGAAGGCTCTGGATTCTTGCAATATCTGAGTTAGAAGGCACTTCAGATAGCGAACGGTTCACAGCTTTGCTGCACGAAGTGAGAGTGGTGGCCCCTGTCTGGGTTTGGGGTTCCTGAAATATCTCCAGAAGAGCCCCCACAATCAAGGAACCCACCACTGCCTTAAAGGAACCCAAAATGTGTTTTCTCCTGTCTGGAATTCTATATTAGTGGTAGGCTGTTTTCCAGAATATAGTTGGTAAGGGGGTGCCCCAAATGTATTTTCCATGTTACAATTCATCAAGTTTGTGGAATTTATCATTTGACTTACTAGGCACTCAGTAAATGGTGTCTGTTATTCCATGTGTGCGTTCTCAGTCATTCTTCATAACCGCTCTGGATAGATACTGTTAACTTTATTTTACAAAAGGAATTTAGAGTTTAATTTTCTCATGGTCAAGTTGTAAAGCCAGGATTTGAACTCTTAAATTTAGAACTCTCACTTTACCATATGTTAGTGCCCCGTGAGGCTAAGGGATAATATTTCTAGTATACGTTCTGGTATATTAGCTGTTGTCATTATCGGTGATGAAATTCCAAGCCTTTTACGTCTGTGGGCTTCCTGAACACATAAGCTCATCTATTAGATGTAACTTATTTTTGCTGTTTGATTAGGAATGGAATCTACTGGCCCTGGCTGGGTAGCTCAGTTGGTTAGAGCATCATCCCAATATGTTGAGGTTTCAGGTTCTATTCCCAGTTAGGGCACATACAGAATCAACTAATGAATGCATAAGTAAGTGGAACAACAAATCAAAGCTTGCCTTTCCCTCCCTACTTCCTTCAAGTCAATTAAAAGAAATAAAACCAGAATCTACTACTTAACAGATCTTAGCTGCAGCAGAGGAGCATAAAAGGCAAAATCACACATTTGGATTTTGCTTTTTCTCTTATTTTATTTTTTAAATACATTGATTTGAGAGAGAAAAACATCAATGATGAGAATCATTGATTGGCTGCCTCCTGCATGCCCCCTACTGGGGACTGAGCCTGCAACTTGGGCATGTGCCCTGATCTGGAATGGAACCGTGACCACCTGGTTCATCAACCAACCGAGTTATTTTAATTTTTTATCCTCACTGGAGGATATTTTTTCCATTGATTCTAGAGAGAGTGGGGGAGGGGTGGGGGAGGAGCAACGAGAGAGTGACATTGATTGGTTGCCTCCTACACAGTTGCAGGCACCGAAGTACCTGCCCTTGACCCCTTGACGGGGGCATCAAACACAAGACTCTTTGGTCTGCAGGCTGATGCTCTAACCGCTGAGAAAGCTGGTCAGGACAAGATTTTGCTTATTCTCTTGAAGACCAAGATTTTTTAAGCTTAATTGAAATATGAATGGGCTTTGAGTCCCTGCTATGAATTAAGCGCAGGGCTATGTTAAATGATACATGTATTTTAAGAAACGGATGCACTTGGCACCAGTTGTTTTTCTATGTTGCCTTTATATTTTATAAGCCCATAGACCCCCAGATCTCAGGCTTTAGGTTGTTAGGAAAATTGTTAGTGTCCAAGTGAAGGCCACCTAGTTTCTGTCCCCTTCCTCCTTGCCGCCATGGCATTCCTCTCTGGTGATGGGTGTTGGCACTTCCCTGTGATCAGAGTCTGGCACAGCTTCGGAAACCTTCAGTGTGGTACTGCAGTAATGCCATTCAGATGGGGTTGTATTTAACTCCTGCCAGTTCCTGCAAAAATGTCCAGTCATGTCAAGAGCAGGACCCAGGCAGTCTCAGTGCTACAAGGGTGGCTGTTTTCATGAATACTGAGCTTGAGTGGATATTAACTACCCGAACTCATCTGCTCTCAGCTTGCAGTTGAGCCCCTGGTGGCCTTACAGACCTGCAGCCTCCTCACCCTGGGGACAGGGCGCGGTCTTTCCGGGCCTGGGCAAGTGGTGACGGATGGTGACTTGCCAGCTTGGAACCAGGCAGAATCCTCATCACCAGGGCTTTGACTCGAGGGAGAGTCAGCCAAGAAAGCTTTCATCCCTCTAACTCACTTTAAAAAAGAAAACATGTACAGATGTATAGGATTCAGCCACAGAAGCCTGAAGATTTTATGATGTGGTTATGTTTATCTGATTATTTATGAAAATGGTTTTCTTCTGTTATAAACTAGTATCAAAAGCAAACTAGCTGGTAGTGTGTGGGTGGGGCGACTATGGAAGGTGGGGTGGTAGTGTGTGGAGTAGCTGTGAAGGGGTGGGAGTGCCGTTCAGGGGAAGTAACAGCCCCAGCTGTGGCCTGGCCGCTCGGGGATGGCATTTTTGTTTGCTCAGTATTACTTTTGAGGCTGGCTGTTTCCCAGAATAAGAACTTTAAGTTTTCCCAAATACTCCCTGTGCTATTTTTAGCAGTGGATCTATTTTTACTCACAAACGAATAGTTTATTGCCTGGTGAGTTAGTGGGAGGAGGCCCTGAGGGATTTTTGAGTAAGCCAGCAGTGTCATAGGAAGAGAAGTGAATTCATGGTAGGCCAGGTTATTTGTGACTTTTTCTTCGTCATGCTATGTAATGTGGAAGCAGAGAGAAGGGGGAAGGGAGTGCCCAGGCCTGGGAGTGGGTGTAGCCCAAGGCTGTGTGGTTAGGATACCAGTCCCGTGGCTGACAAGGAGCCCAGTTCTTAAAGGAAGTGGAGAGCAGGGCCTACCAATTCAAGATTTACAGGATGAAACGAGGTGGGGAGAGGGCAGGAGGAGAGTCAGGGGGCTGTGAGCAGAGGTGGGGGAGCCCTCATAGATGGGGTTGCCATGCGAAAGCTTAGTGCCTTGAGCCGCTGCAAGAGGGCAGCTGACCTGCGGCGGGACCAGTGTTAAAACTGGCATCAGGGTGGAAGGAAGGTTGAGAGCTATGGTCTAGGTCTCTTCCATCTTGACGATTCTCTGTCTTGCCTTCATGTTCCTAATTGGGAACCATGATTACAGAGACGCAGTAAATCATCCCCATAGAGTCCCCAGATGATCATGTTGGTTCCGTGTCCGTGTGGTTGGGACCAGCAGGTAGTGCTTTCCTTTCTTTCCATTAGGCCACATCGCCTCCCAGTGTCTGCCCCGCTTAGGGCAGGACTAGACTTCTCTCTGGATCTCCTGGCTCCAGTCTTTTGGAATTTGAAGTGTTGGGAACTGGGCTGACTAATATTATGAAGGTTATTTACAATAAGTATCGCCAGTCAGCACCGGCTCTGAATCTGTTTTGTTTTCATGGGCCATCTGATTTTCCTTTGACCTATAATTTTTCTTCCCATCTGGGAACACTCCCAGTTTTCTTGAGTTATTTGATCAAGTAATAAACCTATCTTCATTCCATAAGTTTCTCTTTGCTAACTGAATTGTAAGCCAGGATGATAAAGAAAATACCATATTTAAATGTATCCAGTTGGGTCCTGGCTGGGGTTCTGGGAACAATGCTTGCCCGGTGATGTTAGTCACCCTCAGCTGATGCTGACAGTGATTCATTCAGACTGGCAGGCAACCAGGTGATTGTTACATAAACACGAAACCTCCTAGTAAATTATTTTCCTTGTGGAGGTGTCATTAAAAATACTGCCCAGTAGCCTTTTCTGGCAGTTTATTCCTGGGGAAGAAAGGGAATGCTACGTGAATTCCTGAAATGCACAGATACACCCACATTTCATGTACATTAGTAACATCAGCCTTGTGCCTTCACCACGCCTTTTATCTGTCAGGAAAAATGGGAGCCTAGGATTTGGGCGCTGCAGTCCTTGGAGATCATTTGGGCTGATCCCCCTTTTGCTTTTGATGAAAGGTGATTTATGCCAGGTCACACCGTGAGCTCAGGCTAAACTCCAGATGGCCTTAAGTAATGACACTGCCCCTGGTACAAACATCCGATGTGGTATGTAATGTGTCTCAGATGTGCACTGGGGTTCAGTGGTGCGCCGTGGAGAGTTACTTTGTGTAACTTTGCAGCAGTCTAACAAGCAGCTTCATCAGTCAAGGATGGAGTATACAGGGACTCCGGATGGAGACATTAGCATTTTCATGTCAAGTGGCTTAGTCAGATGTACTTACTGCAAGATCTAGGGGGCTCTCCAAATTCTGTTCTTGCTTCAGGTTATGTTTTATTGACTATTGGCCCTAGAAAAGAGTTATTCTAGACTCTAGAATCTAGAGGATTCAAGCATTCTGAGACTTTTCAGAGTATTTGAGACAGAATTTTGATTTATGAGGGTTTCTTTATTAAAAGACCAAATTATCAAACAAGTATCTACAAAGACTATGTTTCAATAAACAGATGAGTGATTAAAGGTACTTACTGTTGGAGAAAACTAGTCGGGTTACAGGTCTTCAACGAGTTGAAGGGAGCATGGATGTGGGTGAGTAGAGAGAAGACTGGCAGATCACAGAGACCACAGAGCTAAGAGACCCCACTGGGCCAGTGTGAGGAGGAATGGGGAACCTGGCTTTTGCAGGCAGCTGCCCTGGGGGAGTGAGCAGGGGGCGGCTTGTAGGCAAAGACAAGGCTGAAGAGAGAAGGGGGTTGGAGTCATTGAGTTGGCAGAGGAGGAGAAAATCCAGGCTAGGGATCATGGCAAAGGAATAGGGGGACTGGAGACAGGGAAATAAATAGATTAGAGAGGGAGCTGGTATTTTTATTTTGTCTGGGCTTTGTTGAAGAGTTGGGCGGTAGTGCATAATTGCTTGTTTCATTTTTTTAAGAACTTGGCACAAGTTTCCAAATTTTACACAAAATGATTACATTTGTTGCTTATGTTCGTTTTTAAAATTTCGGATTCTTCACTGCTCAGTCTTCTCAATCCGTGTTAAGCATGTCTGTTTTCAATATGCTGTTAATAGCTTTCTCCATTGAATTTGGCTCTTCCCCTCCACTGGAGGAGGTTCTGTCCTTATTTGGTTTGATTTACAGTAACACCTTTCTGTTGTTGGTTATTTTATGGTTTCCCAAGTGCTTCTCTTGACCAGCAGGTCATATAATTAAGGAATCGCCCTACTTTATAGACGATACAGGCCAGTTTAGCAACTTACTGGCCTTGCTGAGGCCTAGACCAAGGTTTTTTTACTCCAAGTTTGCGTTAGTTTCCTAGTGCTGCCCCCCAAAGTCCCACCAGTCGGGTGGCTTACAACAGCAGAAACGTGCAGAGCTGTGCTCCCTCCGAAGCTTTGGGGAAGAACTCTTCCTCGCCTCTGTCTTAGCTCCTGGTTGTCGTTGGTGTTCCTGGGCTTATAGACATAGCACTCCAGTTTCTGCCTCCACCATCACAGGGTGTTCTCTGTGTTTGTTTGCCTCGAAACCTCCTTTTCCTTATAAGGGCAGCAATCATTGGATGTAGGATCCACCCTAATGCAGTATGACTTCATCTTAACTGATTATATCTGCAAAGGCCCTACTTCCAAATAAGGTCACATAACCAGGTACTACAGATTAGGACTTCAACAGAACTTTTTGGGGGACAAAGTTTAACAACAACACAGTCCATTGTTCTTTCTACCAATGACATAGCTTGGAGGTGGCAGCATGGAGAACTAAGTAATGGAAGTTAGAGCTTGTGACATGGAACAGCACCAGGTAAAGCAGTTGGTGCTTCCATCCTTGATGGCCAGTCAGGGTTTCCTGTCAGGCAGGTGGAGTGAAGCTCGCTGCGGAGTAGCTCTACTTCCTTTCAGAGCGGAGGCCGGGGCACTTTACTGTCCCTAATGCATCCGCTTTGTCTTAGGGGAGGGAGGGCTGGGTGTCCCAGTGGGATTCCATGGAACCACACGGGCTGGAACTCTGGCCATTAGACTGTGTGGTGTTTGATCTCCTCTGTGAAGTGCTTACCTATTAATATGTATATGAGGGAGGTTTCATTGCTTCTTTCTAGAATATAAAGCTGGGAGTAGAATCTGGAACAGACTTCTAGTCTAAGTTTTGAACATTTGACAAAGGAATCACACGATCTTATTGTCGAGAATATCTTCTGCAGAATAGCTGAACCTTCGGGCTTTTTCACCCACCTTTATGTACCATCCCCTCACAACCTTCCCATGGTTACCTTCCCCCCATACCTCTGCCAAGGTGAAGGCAACATCTTATAAGGTCTGGATTAGGGATTTCTCAAAACCCTTATGAGTTTCAAGTATTTGTTTCTTTGGTGAGATTACAGTCTTCCTTCAGATAGGATCAGTGTCTGATTGGTTTTCCTCCAGACTGGCTTGTCCATAATCTTGCTTTTGAGAAGGGTTGTTGGTTAGAATGAAGGGAAGGCTTCTTTCCAAGATTTTCGGACTAGGATCTCAGTGTTAATATCTTCGGCATTTTGCAGGTGACAGAGCTCAACGAACCTCTCTCCAATGAAGATCGAAACCTCCTCTCTGTGGCCTACAAGAATGTAGTCGGCGCCAGGCGATCTTCCTGGAGGGTCATCAGCAGCATCGAGCAGAAGACCATGGCCGACGGGAACGAGAAGAAGCTGGAGAAAGTGAAAGCTTACCGGGAGAAGATCGAGAAGGAGCTGGAAACAGTGTGCAACGACGTCCTGGCCCTGCTGGACAAGTTCCTCATCAAGAACTGCAATGATTTCCAGTACGAGAGCAAGGTGTTCTACCTGAAGATGAAAGGCGACTACTACCGCTACCTGGCAGAGGTGGCTTCCGGGGAGAAGAAAAACAGTGTGGTCGAAGCTTCCGAGGCGGCCTACAAGGAAGCCTTTGAAATCAGCAAAGAGCACATGCAGCCGACGCACCCTATCCGGCTGGGCCTGGCCCTCAACTTCTCCGTGTTCTACTATGAGATCCAGAATGCGCCCGAGCAGGCCTGCCTCTTAGCCAAACAAGCCTTCGATGACGCCATAGCTGAGCTGGACACACTAAATGAGGATTCCTATAAGGACTCCACGCTCATCATGCAGTTGCTGCGAGACAACCTCACCCTCTGGACGAGCGACCAGCAGGATGAAGAAGCAGGAGAAGGCAACTGAAGAGCCTGCAGGTTCCCGCCCTTCCTCCACCCACCGCCCCCCTCATCACTGATTCTTCCTTGCCACAATCACTAAATATCTAGTGCTAAACCTCTCTGTATTGGCAGCACCGCTACTCAGATCTGCTCCCCCGCCCCCTGGGAAGCAGTTTCAGATCCATCTTCATGGGCATTGCTGGATCGATGGTTGCTTGGAGCCCACGGGAGCTTTCTTTTGAATTGTGTAGACAAGTGCGTTCTGAATGAGGCATTTTACTATGCCTGTTGGTAGTTGTGAAAGCGATGGGGAAGTTTAGAAAGGAGAATTAGCCAAAACCGGCTACAATGATATTTAAATGATCCATTTAAAATGAGCTGATAGTGTTTTGTTAATAAGCAGTACATCTTGTGCATGCAAAAAAGAATTCATCCCTCCCACCTCTTCTTCCTTCAACTAATGGAAAACTGTTAAGGGAAGCTGATACAAAGAGAACACTCCCTTCTTTCCGTCAGCTTTATATAAACTGTTCACGTGAGGTTTCAGTAGCGCCTTGTTTTGCCTCTTTAAGTTATGATGTGCACAAACCTTCTTAAATGCAGTGCATCTAAAGTTTTGATACCTGTAACTTTGTTTTGGTTGCGATTGTTTAAGAATCATGGATTTATTTTTTGTAACCCTTTGGCTATTGTCCTTGTGTATCCTGACAGCACCACGTGTGTCAGCCCCTGTCAATCAAGATGGGTAATTATTGAAATGCCAGACTTCTAAATTAAATGTTTTGGAATTCAATGAGTAACTAAATGTTGCTTTGGAGATTTTTTTAAAAACGAATAAGAGATATTAAAGTGTTAATTTTACCTTCATGTAATTCTTCTTTGATGTAGATCTGAGTTTCTGACCTATTTTATTTTCTTTTTCTCTAAATTATTTATTATAACATTTCTTTTAAGGAAAATCCACTGGTAACAAATTCCCTCAATCTTTGTTTGTCTGAGTGTTATCAGTGAATTTTCTGAGCTTTCCCCCAGCTCCCCCGCCCCACACACAAAGAATGGGGTTTCATGGAAACTTTTATTGATCTGTAAAATTAAGGAGGTTCCCCAAAGTCCCATCTCTGTCTGCCCCAACATGGAAAAGTTCAATCTTGATTTCATCAGTGACAGAATAAAGGCCACTGACCATAGTTTTGCTCCATGTTAAAGTGTAGTCCAGTCCAGCATCCTACATGTGATATCAGCATGGCCATGCACATGTGGCTATGGAGGGGAAATGCAGGAACCCATGGGCAAGTTCAGGTCATTAAGCAAGAGAGAAGACGGAAGAGGGAGCTTTTTGTCTGGGGATTTTAACCATGAGCTTCTTCAAACTAACCAATGAACTTTCCAAGATATTGTGCACTTCTGATGGGGTCCACCCTCTAGCCAATCCATTTTCCCCCAGGCTAGACTAACAAGCAAGCACCTTTCCTACATCATCCCAACTTCACTGCACACATGCCCATCTCCCCTTAGTTTGATGCTTCCCCCCAGTGTTCTGCAGGGAATGGATCAGTGAGTGGTTCCCTGGAGAGCATGAAACTTTAGCTTCATGATTAGGCTGCCCAGATGACCATGGTTATAATGTGTGACTTTCTTTAGCTTTATTTCTTTTACTAATATTAACAAGATTATTACAATAATAAACTGAGCAAGTCTTTATTTCACCTTCTCTTTTGAGGGATACTTTTCCCAGGTACAGAATTCTAGGTTGGTGTTTTGTTTTGTTTTTTCTCTCTCTCAACACTTTCTGTGAGAGTGTATGATGTTAGGTTATTTATTTTGTGCATTTGTAGCAATAAATGAGATTTCCATTGTGTTATGAATTTGACTGACCTCTTCAAGTGTGTGTGGCAAGAGGTCTGGAGAATGATATTCAGATTACAGTGAGGTGTGGAGAGGACCAAGGGAGCTGGACATCTTCACTGGCAAACATCAAAGCCTATGAAGGAAGGGGTGAGAGTATAGTGTAAGGGACATACCCCCCATCTCTTTGCTCCCTTTTCCTTCCTCTCCCTGATACTATGTTGGATCTGTCTTCAAATCTTGAAGACCAAAGGATGAGGCGATAGTTGGCTCTAGACCACTCTCAAAGCCAGCTTTGTCAGAAATCCTAGATCACATGAGAAAGGTGAAAAGAGAGGACATGACTACTTATTTTTTCATTTTCCATTAAAGGAGAGAAAGACAAAAAAAACTTTCTTTCTCCCAACTCCTCTTGAGGGCATGATAGAAGTGGGAAGGAGTGGAGCAGAAAGGCTGGGAGACCTCCCATAACAGCTCACATACCACAAGCAAGGAATAAGTGTTTAGATTATATAAATAGATTAACTGAAGAACTCTAAGCCAGGATTAACAAGCATAGCTGGGGCAAGATTGCGTGGAATCTGACAGGGATCCTGTCAGTGAAAGCTGGGGCTTTTGGAACCCCAATATAAGTGTTTGAGGCTCAAGTACAGAGTGTAGGGAGTCAAGAAAACTGGATCCCAGGACAGGTAGTTTGGCAGTGAGAACAAAGGGAAGAGACTGGGACCAAGAATCCTGAATTCCTAAAGACAGGAGGATGGGTATTGGAAAGAACAAATGGCTGAGGCAACCCAAAAGCCTGGGTTCTAGAATAGCAGTAAGTCAGATTTCCAGGCTCTCTGCTCAGCCTCCTCACCTTCTTCCCTCTATTAGGCACAAGAGAAGAGAGAAGGGGGCTGGAGAATGAGCAAACCATGGATTTAGTTCCCAAGTAGCCATATAAATACATTCAGGGACAGACAGACACAGGCTAGTGGGGAAAAGAGGAATTTAGGGTTACATTGGCTTTGAATGAGGCTTTGAGGGATCAGGAGGCTAGGAAGAAGTGATGGGGATTGATCCAGTGGGTGCACAGCTCCATCCTTTGCAGTGGCCCTGTATACAGCATGTATGACCACAACCCTCCTCTTCCTCCTCATCACTCTCTGTGGAGCTCTCACCAAAGGCCCAAGGATTCTCATAAATACAGCAGCATTTTGATGAGCGGTGCCCCATGTGTTCATTGTCCACATTGCTATTCCTCCATTCCACCTTTACCTCTGGATTCTTTTTTCAAAGTTTGATGTACTGACTCCATGTTCTTGGGCTAGGTTGTCAGCATAACCATTGTCTCAGTGCAGGTCTCAGCCAAGCCCCTGTCTCTGTCATGATACAGGCTAAGGAAAAGGAAGAGGGGAGGAAGGGTGATGAGACACCCTTCCCTTGTTCTGTATCTCTGGGAACTAGTAAGTATTCTACCAGGTCTTTTAAAAACCAAGGTAATTCTAGTCAAAAGGAAGAAAAAGGAAAGGCTATTATGAAAACCAGGCTTATAAAAACAATCCCATGTCTTTTCCACAAATATTAATTAAAAAACATTAGCTCATGTAATATTAACTTATTTCATCTTCCAGAAACACAATTTGGATCCAACTTTTCTTTTATAAACTTGTGAGTTTTGCATGATTGGTACCTGTTCCATGGCTAAACTTTTACAATTAAAGTTACAAGATCACTGTTTGCACCCGTCATGTATGTTTATGTATGTCTATGTATGTATGTCATAAATGTGTGAATTGTTTCTATCTCCAGATGTATTGCCAAAAATAATTTGTAAAGAGCTGTATTTAATTAGCTTAAAGACAAAAAAGCATTGTATAAATCAAGTTTCCTTTCAGGAATATTGAAAGTAACCCAAGATGAAGAAGCAGGAGAAGGCAACTGAAGAGCCTGCAGGTTCCCGCCCTTCCTCCACCCACCGCCCCCCTCATCACTGATTCTTCCTTGCCACAATCACTAAATATCTAGTGCTAAACCTCTCTGTATTGGCAGCACCGCTACTCAGATCTGCTCCCCCGCCCCCTGGGAAGCAGTTTCAGATCCATCTTCATGGGCATTGCTGGATCGATGGTTGCTTGGAGCCCACGGGAGCTTTCTTTTGAATTGTGTAGACAAGTGCGTTCTGAATGAGGCATTTTACTATGCCTGTTGGTAGTTGTGAAAGCGATGGGGAAGTTTAGAAAGGAGAATTAGCCAAAACCGGCTACAATGATATTTAAATGATCCATTTAAAATGAGCTGATAGTGTTTTGTTAATAAGCAGTACATCTTGTGCATGCAAAAAAGAATTCATCCCTCCCACCTCTTCTTCCTTCAACTAATGGAAAACTGTTAAGGGAAGCTGATACAAAGAGAACACTCCCTTCTTCCGTCAGCTTTATATAAACTGTTCACGTGAGGTTTCAGTAGCGCCTTGTTTTGCCTCTTTAAGTTATGATGTGCACAAACCTTCTTAAATGCAGTGCATCTAAAGTTTTGATACCTGTAACTTTGTTTTGGTTGCGATTGTTTAAGAATCATGGATTTATTTTTTGTAACCCTTTGGCTATTGTCCTTGTGTATCCTGACAGCACCACGTGTGTCAGCCCCTGTCAATCAAGATGGGTAATTATTGAAATGCCAGACTTCTAAATTAAATGTTTTGGAATTCAGTGGGTAAATAAATGCTGCTTTGGGGATATCGCTAGGCGTATGGTCTTCATTTCCCCTCCTCAAGGAGCTGTGTAGCAGCTCACCACCTTGAATCCTGGTTTGTGTCTCAAACATGAAGCGTTTTTCACACAGTAAGTTCTTTTGCCTGCTGATTCCATTACACATTTTGTAATATACACATAAGACTCCTGCATTTTAAATAGTTTTCTGTGAGCCCCGCCAACATAGCCTCTCTTACCTGCTCACTCTCCCTGAAAACTGGTGCTTAATGGGAGCCTCTGAAAGGCCAGGCCCGAGTTTAGCTTGGGAGGGAGGGTGTTTGTCCCACCCTATGGATGCTGGTTGGTATTTAAACTCAAGGTACATACTGAGCTTATACATGTCCTCAAAAATTTGTTTTTAAACCTTTTTTAAAAAAAATATTTTTATTGATTTCGGAGAGAGAGAGAGAAACATCAATGATGAGAGAGAATCATTGATCGGCTGCCTCCTGCACGCCCCCCCCCACTGGGGATTGAGCCACAACCTGGGCGTGTGCCAGTGACCGGGAAACCACCAGCGACCTCTTGGTGCTTGGGTTGACACTCAGCCGCTGAGCCACAGCAGCTGGCCCTCAAATTTTCTTAATATTTTTCCTGTATTAGGTGTCATAAAATGTTAATTAGGGATACAACCTGAATTCCTGAAATAACTTTTACTGATTAATATTAAGAAAGCTTTGAGTAGTCTTTAAAATTGAAAAATGAACCTCCGTCTGAGTTAAAAAGAAAAAGACCTAACCTCTTAAGCATGCTCCCCATTTCTTGCTCCCCAAGACTTGAGGTTCAGCATCACCAGTTGGACTCTTCCTCAGGTGATGACTCCAGCCCCTCACAATTGTTACCACCTCCAGTGCTGTGCCTGGGACCAACAGATTGGTTCAGTTGATTTTGGAGAGAAACATCGCTTGCCTCCCGTACACACCCTGGCCCCGAAACCTAGGTATGTGCCCTGACCGGGAATCGAACCCCCAACCTCTTAGTGTACGGGACGATGTTCCAACCAACCGAGCCACCGGCCAGGGCTTAACTACTTTATTCTTGACTGAAGCTCGATATTAGCCTGGCGAAACGACCCAATTTCTGTCCTTGAGCTTATATTGTGGTGGCGCACAGAACTTCTAAGCATGGAAGTTTAACCTGTTTTCTCATTTTGAAGAGGAGGAATGACCCACGTGTTAATAAAAACTCCTTAGGAAGCCTGCTTCAAGTTGGCCTA